GGCACCAAATCATTCCACTGTATAATTAAACATTGAAAAGAATGAGAAAAAAATGTGTCCGCAATCTGAATGGCTACTTTTAGATTTTCGTTTTAGCTTGAGCTAAGCATTCCATACATGGCCACTTGTTTCACCGCATGCATTCTTCCACCAACTGTACCGGCTTATCTGTCTTTCCCAATTATACAATTGTCGCGAATTTCTCGTGAAAAAAATTGCTGACTTGCCCCGTTTCGGTGCATACGTCCGTGATTGCGATTCTTATGATGATCATGGACAAATTCTTGGTTCAATGTCTTTTTTCTCGCTCGTTTATAATTTGATTCGAAATTCGAATGTTTGGTCTACGGAGTGCAACAATGTATCGACACCTTCCAAATTATTTTGATATGAATCGGATGTTGATGTTTATTCACTAAACAAATGGAATCTGCAAATGATGCGTTTATACATTGTGTTTGATACATTTAAATCGAGTGAATCGATTTATTTTCGGACTGATTCATTAGCATTCATGTTTCTTTTATCATTTTCGGACTATATTCAATGCCATGGTCAAATGTTGTTGAATCATTTCAGTTGTGATCTCGGTGAAATCGGTATCGTTTTGAATCAATTCATAACACTTTTGTTTGCATTCGATTATTCACGTATTTGAACGACATCACAATGAGCGGAGGCAAGAAAGAAGTCGACAATTTTCGGAAATTGATGGACAGAGGTAAATGAGAGGTTGAAAAAAAAGCTTAAAACTCATCAAACTAAAATATTTCGTTGTGGTTTTTCTTTCATCACAGGTATGGCTGTCGCTTGCAAGGACACAAATTATTCAGATGAATGTATTCAGCAGCTACGTCATTGCAAACGGGATATAGAAGCTATATGCATTGCTCACCCACAGTTGGCTCAAAATGTGATGGAAGGCCCGTTCATGAGATACATCCACAAAAATCTCGAAGAAAAAACGGCCAAAATGGAACGGGATTTGCCAAGAAACAAATCAAAATGAAATGTACATCAAATGCAAATGAATCTCTTGTAGAATAGTGTTCAACTAGAATACATTAACGTTCAAACAATAAAAGAGAAATAAAGCCCAACATTTCAATTGGAAAAGATAAAGTGATCGTGTTTTTTATTTTCAAATTTCCAAGGACTTTTCAGAGCCAAATAGTAGTGCTTTCGGTGATCGTGATTTTCTTGGTGATGTTTCTTGATTTTCTCGATTTTCTCTACTGGGATAATTCTATGATTTGTATAAAAAAATATTTCTTGCACACTTCATTTTGTTCGTGTGACCGAGTATTTATTAATTCGATCGTTCAATCAACCTAGTAACAACGTACTTTTCTAGAGTCTTTGTTGACACAATTCAATTTAGTTCGAAATGAATGTTGATATTTAAAAAAACAACAACAAATGGAATCTGTTGCATTCAATGCACTCATACTTATTTGGTCATTGCATTGTGGATTTTTTTTGTTAGATTTCTAATTCATACAAGTATAAAAAATATTAGACACATTCGTTGTTATTTTGGTCATAAATCGGCATTTTTACATCTTCTTTTTGTGAAACTAAACATCAAACTCTTAGAGGCCCAACATAAACTCACTGAACAACTAACACAGCAACGCGTATTGCAATACATTATTTTGGCAAAGAAAAATATATCTATCTCTTTCTAGTCTCTTTCGATTTTTTGCAGTGTGAGTGCTCAAAGTGAAAAAGGACACTAATACTACCTAATTACTTTTGCTTTTTTTCTATTCCTTTAGAAGACAGCTTATTTTGCTATTCGACTCAGTTAGGAAATAAACATGAACTTAAGACCAGCCATGCGTTGGATTGTAACCATTTTGTGTGTACATTTACAACATCGAAAAATGTGAACATCGATGAGCAATTCTGTGCGATTGAAATAGAAAGTGGGCGAGTTCTTGGGAAACAAAACCAATTCGAGAATAAAGAATTTTATTCTTTCCGAGGGATTCCTTTTGCTAAGCCATCAATCAATGATCTTCGATTCAAGGTAATGAGAAAAACAAAATACTGACTATAAATATTGAAATGAATTCGTTTTTTTGTCTTGTTTGTGTTTTAAGGCACCCAAAAAGAATGATCGATGGACTGGAACACTGATGCTTGATGATTATAAGAATCATTGGAACGCTAGTTTTAATTTTCATTTAGCGTTAAAGAGAAATAAACTTCAATTTCAATTTGGTCAAGCAAAATAATTGCGTTGTTACTTTTTTGAACTGTCTATAAATTTGCAGAATCTCTTTTAGTGATCGTGGCATTTGTGGTGAACTACTTGATTTCTCTGATTTTTTTACTCCGTTTTTTCTGTGATTTCAATGAAAAAAGTTATTTCTGATCACTTTATTTCGTTATATCAATTCAATTGTTTGGTCAACACCGCAAAAGTGTATCTTTGTTGACACAATTCAATTTAGTTCGAAAATGAATGTTGATATTTATTCCCATAGCCGAAAAGAATAAACAATCAGCTCATTCAAATTTATTCAAAGAAACCGAATCATCAATTTTTTTTTCAGTTGATAGATCATTTCGATGAAGAAAATGTCGAATTTATTGAGTCATTTGAGTTTTGGAAGGGATTCAGTGAACATCAACTCGATTTGAGGGCAAAGTTGCAGAATTTCTTCGTTCGACATCAAGATGAATGGGGCAAACAACGAAATGGAAAAATTTAAAAAGCTATGGGATAAAAGTAAAATCAATTTCATCACTTTATAGTTCCATATAACGTTTGCTTCGGTTTTCCCAAGCAGGATTGGCGACTCAAAGCGCAGATAAAAAATACACGGATGAAAACCTTCAAAAGTGTTTCAATGTTCGGCTGGATTTCGATCATATGTGCGCTACTGACCCACAACGTGCTCAAAAGGTGTTGCAACATCCGACCCTTCAATTGGCTAGGAAAAAACTTGAAAAAGCATACAATAAAAAGCATTCGCAACGGATTGCACCAAAATGAAATACCAGCATATATTTTAGAACGTGTCAATGTTCAAATGATAAAAGAGAAATAAACTCCAATTTTTAAATTGAATACCGAAAATGATTGTGTTTTTACTTTAGAATTTTCTATGATTTTCCAGAACTTTCCAGTGATCGTAGCATTTTTGATGAACAGAACTCTCTAAATAACGAGTGAATTTCATGAAAACTGATTCTTAGTCACTCTTTCTGTTTACAAAAGAATTTCAATGCAATCATTCGATTAACCAAGCAACAACCTGTTTTTGTTGACACCATCACAATTATTTTGAATCGATAATATGAATCGAATGTTGATATTTATGCAATAAACAAATGTGGTCTGTACTTAATGCTCTCTTTCTCATTAAACCCATGAATTTCTTGATGAATCACATCAACATTTTTTTTTCGTTTTGGGGCCTGAAGTGAATGTTGGATTTTTCATTTCGGTTCTGACAACGATCTGGTCAACACCAACATAAATCCATTGAGTAATTGTAACCAATCGACTCGAGATCAGTTGTAATTTTTTTTCGAGTAAAACTTCAAGATGAGTGGAGCAAACAAGGAAATGGAAGAGTTTAAAAAGCTATGGGACAAAGGTGAGCATATTTCATTAAAAAAACTTCTCATCAAAACTAAAGCTGTTTAGTATAGCTTTCATCTAATGTTTCTTTTGTTTTCCGTCCAATTTCAATCAGGAGTGGTGCTTTCTCAAATGTCGCCCAATGTCCGAAACAAATTCGATCAATTGTGCTCTACTGACCCACAACGCGCTCAAGCGATTTTGGAACATCCGACCGTTCAACATGCAAGACAAGAACTTGAAAAAGCGATTGAGAACCTGAAAAGTGACGATTTGGTTTCACTAAAAACGCCCGAACATCAAATAAACAAAAATAATCCCAGCTCTTGATACGTGTCAATAAAAAAAGTGAAATAAACTCCAATTTTTGAATTGATCTACGGAAATGATTGCGTTTTTATTTTCTATTATGTTCTTACGGAAACGTCACTTAAGCAAAATCTCTTCCAGTAATCTTGGCGTTGTTGATGAATAGTTCCGAAAACCAAATCATTTCAGTTTTGAAAAATAATCTTTCAACATCATGAAACACTAATTCTTAGTCACTTCATGTTTGTTTGTAAACAATGTCTATGGGTGAGATTGAGAGTGGAGTATGTTTTTTCTTCGATTTATATTTTTGAAAAGGCGAGTATGTTTTCTGATGATTCCGTTGGCGTTAAAGTAGAGTATGTTGTAGTACCGTCTAGCCTCCGCGGTCTTCATGGTTTTCACGCAACTGATAAAAGATAACAACATGGTGTCTTCGGCAAAGTTGTAGTACTTGAGGTCTTCTATAACTAAGCTGAAGACAGTTATCTCTTATCTCTTATCAGTTGCGCGCAAATCGCGCACATAAAAAAGCAAATTTTATATAGAACTTTTTTTTCTTATCATTTTTCGCGCTTTTCGCGGAGCTGATAAGAGATAAGAGATAACTGTTTTCAGCGATGTTATAGAAGACCTCGAGTGCTACAACTTTGCCGAAGACACCAAGTTGTTATCTCTTATCAGTTCCACGGAAACCGTGAAAAACCGCGAGGACCCGCTAAGAACGAACATACTCGCTTTTAACCATTTTTAAGTCGACAGAAACTTGCTCTTCTCTTTCGTAACAAAGTCAATCAAACATACACTACTCTCAATCTCACCCATAGATATATCCCTTCGATTGTATAATTTACACAGAATGCATTTCTGTTGACGTACTTCAAATTAGTTCGAATTGAATGTTGATATTCATTCCCATCGCTGAAAAGAATAAGCAATCAACTCATTTCAATGTATTTTGAGAAATCGAATCATCAAAATTTTCTATTGATGCATCATTTTGTCACCAATTCAATGAGGTGAATGTTGATTGAGAGTCATTTGCGCTTTGAAAAGGATCCGATCAACATCAACTTAGGTAATTTTCGAATTCATCAAGTGGATTAACCAATCGATTTGCAAACTAGGTGGAAGGGTTCTTCATTTCACGACAAGATGAGCGAACCAAACAAGGAAATGGAAAAGTTTAAAAGGTTGTGGGATAAAGGTAGACAAATTTCAACAAATATTGAATTTGAAATAAAAATATTCCATCATTCATTGAAATACAAGCTGTTCCGTATAGCTTCAGTGTTTGCTTCTGTTCTCTCTTAAATGCAGGATTGGCGAGTCAACGCGACGATAAAAATTATCCGGTTGAAAATTTTCAAAACTGTTTCAATATCCGAAAGGAATTCGATCGTTTGTGCGTTACTGATCCACAACGAGCCCAAAAGGTGTTACAAGATCCGAAAGTGCAATTTGCAAGAAAAGAACTTGAAAAGACAGTCGACGTATTGGAGAAGTATTTGCAAAGCCGCAAAATGAAATAGGCAAAAAATGCCACCTCTTTAAATTTAAATTCTAAAATCGAAATAAACTCCAATTTTTAAATTGGTCAACGGATTTCATTGCGTTTTTACTTTTGAATTGTCTATGAGTTTACAGAATTGTCATCGAAACCAGACCTCTCTCAGTGATCGTTGCATTTGTGATGAACCAAAAAATCCAATGTTTATAAAAATCTGATTCGAAATGTTTACAAAAACGTTGTGGCCGTTAATGTGTCCTATCATCACATTCTCCGCACATAATGAATTTTGTAGGGATCATCAAAGTGTGAGAATATGAACACATCATTTCAGTTTTGGCCAGTAATCAATCAACATCGATTTCGATTAAAATCTCATCTGTTGCCTGCATACGTTTTTGACACTGAAAGTAAAGAGCTGAAGGATTTCCATAAATTGATCGATAAAGGTTTTGTCTATTTTATACAATTTAACTATGTTTAATAGTTGGTGACGGTTTTGTGTTTCTCTTTTCGTTTAACGATGGAAATCGCGACTATTATTTGGATTGCCAACAAAAAATGAATGCCATTCATAGCCTATTCCCGATGTTCAACAAGTGCTCGATGATCATGTTCAACAAGTGCTCAAAAGAAACCAATGAAAGAAAAGACAGAACTTATTCGAAGAATCACTCTCCAACGGAAATGGCACCAAGGATTCGAGTTATGAAAGCAAATAACGGGAATGTGAAGAAATATGAACGATATGAGATAACAATTTTGCACACACCAAACAAATCTGCGTTGATTCCACAAAAATGAAATAAATTTCAATTTTTCAAGTGAAAATATAAAAAGAATGCGTTTATCTTTCTCTACTTTTGATTTTTCTTCCATTTTGTTCTTCGAAAATATTCGTTCTGTTTTCAATCATTGAAA